AAAGTTGCAATATGAGCTCTGGTAAAAACATGCAATGATAACAGCAAAAAAATTGCAATATGAGCACTGGTAAAAAAGGTTGCTGAAGACATTAGGTTTAAAATACTCGAGGACACATAGCACAGTGGATAAAGGCGTTGGTTAGATTCAGTGACAGGACCCAAAGAGAGTGATTTCTATACCCGGTTAAGGTGTCGAAATTTAGCTTAGTAACAGCCAAACTCGGCGCAAAAAAGGTTGGGAAACTTTGTCATTACGTCCAATGACGGGAATCCCGCATAACACAGTTAACAGAGACCTGAAACCATCAATATACAACCATAACAAGCGAGATAAAGGAGAAGGAAAATCCACTTGAAATAGCTATAAAATTTATTGAGGGAAAAGAAAAAAAATAAAATGAGGGGGAAAAAAAATAGTCTGATGTTAAAGTTCACTGGTACAACTTGAAAATAACTGCCAAAAACGTCCCTTTGGCGAGCCCTTAAAAAGGACTCCAATAACAGTTCAGAGAAAGTGAAAGAGGTAGAGAGATAGCAGAAAGAGGGGAAAAATTAGACTTACTGTTCAAAAAAAAATAGCTTTAGTATTTTTTTTTTTAAGTAGCTGGGCAGAAAGGTTTTTAGATATTTTGAGTTGCTCTCCTTGGAAGATAAGCAAGATTTCTGTTAAAAATAAATGCAGACTTGTTTTTTCAAACTTTCTCTGCGACACAAATTCAACTTCTAGAGACGACTTAGAAGATCTTTTTTTCACATACATTTTTCACGTCAGGATTTCGTCCACCAATAGGACAAAATAACTCCTTGAAGGAAGGTAGCTTTTCAATCGCTTAATTTTGACTTTTTTCTCTCTTCGACCCGATTGTCGAAAGAAGACTTCCTTGAGAATGTTCTATTGTAAATTCTCTTTACAATAATTTCTTTAACTGATTTTTTGATAAGTCTTTACTGACTTATCCTTGGGTGCTGATCAATAATCCACTTGATTATTGGAACAGACTTGACTTCACTTGTCTAGAGAATAAGCTTTTTCCACACAGCGAACACACTTGTTCTTTATCTTCAATTCTCTTAGACAAATATTCTGGACTGGTCTTTTATGACTGTTTTCCTTGTCAGAGCAACAACAGGTTATCTTCAAGCAGGTTTTCTTTTCGTCGCAAGACAAGACGACTTATCGTCTCCACACTGCGGTGCCCTTTTCTGCTACTACTGACTAGATTCCTCTAATCTAGTTGAAAACAAGCGGGAAAATCACGTACAACAACAGCAGCAGTTCTTACACTGCACACAGGGGGAAAAGGAGAGGAGGAAGGAAAGTAAGAGAGATAGAAAGATAGATACAGAAATTAAATTTCTGACAAAGGCAGTGGAGAACTTGGAGAGGGAAATTAACAGGAGATAACTGATAACTGACATCCATTAAACATGGCACGTGGAACTAGAACAGTCTACCCCAGTGAGTGAAATAAAGGGTTAAGTTCGACATTCCAACCACCTGAAGAAGGCCGGAGTGTATAACAGCTGAAATGTTGTAATCAACATGGTGACAATGATAAGGACAATAGTCCGAATAATGTACTCTGCTTAGCTTTTGGAAGCCTTTTGCTATTTCAATGCACCTTCAGATTTCAACTTCAATATTCTATGCTTGTTGAATTTTCACATTACTGTGCCCAGTAAAAAAAAATGGTAAATTCAGAAAAGACCCAAGACAACTGTTGAAAATTGGTGATGACTGATGTGACTGAAAAATTCATGAAGAATTTCTGCACACTGTGTCAATCCCAAGTCGGATGTTCTTTGAAAAGTATGACAACTTGACACTCAAAATCAGGGAGTTGTTTAGCTATATGAGAAGGACAGAACAATAGATGAAAGTCATCTGCCCTTAAATGTCTCACCCTTAAATGATCAGTCAGAAGATGAAGGTCATCCTAAACGGGTTCTCCTCCAGTTCCTTTCACACGAATATTGGCGTTCCTCAAGGTTCTATCCTTGGTCCTACACTGTTTCAGATCTTCATCAACAATCTTTCTGATATCACCAATTCTCAAGCAGGCTTCTATGCAGACAACACTACCATTTACTCCTGTCTCAATAGTAAATCCAGCATTGTTGCCAAAATTAACATGGCCATTGGTCTTGAAAAGGACCACCAATCTGTGGTTGACTGGGGCAGGAAATGGCTTGTAAACTTTAATGCCTCCAAAATGAAACTGTTCTCATTTACCAACTATTGAGAAACCTCCCTGCCACCTATGAACATGGCTGATGCTCAACTTCATGAGAGCGTTTCTCTGCACCTTCTTAGTGTCACATTTTCCACTGACATGAGGTGGAACAACTACATTGAATCAATAGCTACATCTACTGCAAGGAAAGTTGGTTCTCTGTGTCGTGCCAGAAGGTTTTTCTCACCTTATTCCATCTTTCAAATCTACAAATTTACCATTCATGAATACTGTTGCTATATATGGTCTGGTGCCCCCGCTGCTCCTCTCGAGGTTCTGAACAAAATCCAAAGATGGACATGCAATGTGATAGGTCCTGACCTGGCATCTCGACTACAGTCACTTTCTCACAGATGTGATATGGCTTACCTCTGTCCTTTCTACAAATATTTTCATGGCAACTGCTCTGACAAGTTACTTTCACTGGTAACCTAACTCCATGAATTTAAGTGTGATACTAGGTTGATATCTTGGTTCCACTTTTTCACTGTCAAAACAGTTAAATGTAACTGCCTCTTCTACTCCAACAGCTTCTTCTATTACACTTCCTGACAGTGGAACTCTCTTCCTCTTACTTGCTTCCCTGATAACTATAATCTTCAAATATTCAAATATAATGTCAATCGACATCTTCTGATGCTTTGATCTTGATCTCTGTCCTTCTCTTTATCCTTTTCTCAAACACCCCTCTTTACTCTTACTCTCTGTAACCCTTTGCGTGCTAGTGGCACTCATGCCTTGTTTGGGGTGAAATGTTTAAAAAAAAGAAAAAAGAAAAAAAGAGTTAAGTAATTATGAGAGAGTAGAATGATTATTCAAGGTCATGAGTATTTAAGAAGTTTACTAAAGGTCAATTATTGCTGAAAGATAAAACAGTGATAATAGATTTGCTGGTTTTTTACTGGGCACCCTGTCATATCTGTTATGAACAAGAGTAGAAAATTTAAAGTTGATAAATATAACTTTAGGAAAGTCAACAAAAAAAAAAACAGATCCTAAAAACAGATAGTTTAGGTGTCAGTACTGTCAAAAAGGTAATATAAATGATTTTATTTTATGTTAGGTAATGACTTCATAATCTTTGAATAGTTTTGGCTTAAATCCTTATATATATATATATATATATATATATTATTTCTGCTGCCTGTTTCTAAAATGAACAAACTGTTCAATATTTGTTCTTTTATGAACTATTTCATAAATTTGGATTGCTTTCTAGTGTTTTTGTTTACCTAATGTTTCATATACTTATAAAAAACATTAATGATTTTAGCTTCTAAAACACATAATGTATATATAGTGTGTTGTGGTGAAGGAGCTTGTGCATCACGTTGAGCATGAATTCAATGCTGTCAGAAGCACCATCTCCAGTAGGGTCACCTATGGTAGTAAGGATTCAGGGAAGAGACCAGACTAAGCACAATCTGAGACCCGATGGGGTGGTGGTCAAGGCAAGGTTGAACCTGCATGTCAAGCTCTGGTTTGCCACAGAGGATAGTGTTAACTGAAGTGTGTGCACCATGAAGTGGTAACCCATGGGCCACCTCAAACAATTCACAGCTAAGGCTTTCATGCTTTTTATTTTTTTCTTCTTGCATCTAAAAACTAATATTTAGGGACAAGCAGTCCATGAAAAAACATACTTTGAAAACACCAGAAGAGAACCCAAAGAAAAGCTCTTGAATTCTCCTACCTTAACATGTAGTGGCTGCATCTCTTCAGATCTAACATACGAGTCATTTCACACAGAAGGAAATTCTGATGAGTACCCCAATACTCAGCAATGAGTTACACTAATGATGATAATGTTAGCTTTCAGCAGATATTAAGTGACAACAAGTCTCCTTAACTTATTCAAATAAGAATAAGTTGATAATTTAATTATAAAAGCCATTAAGAAAATGCTGATTTATAAAGCTCACAAAATATCAGATTTGAAATAAATATAAAAAAAGGGTTATTCTTTTTGAGTAAGCTTAAGATGACTAAGCCGAATATGCAACTTTGTTATTGCTGTTAAGCAAATATCACAAGGTTGGCCAAGACATAATGATCGTTGATTTGTTTAATGGCATATCAACTCCCTATGGGTCATTTAATGTTGAAATTTAATTTTCTTGAGAGCTTTGAAGTAATTTCATAATTTTACTATAAATAGGTAGTGTTGGTCATTTTGCTATAAATATTTGTTGTTGGTCATTTTTTCTATATCTGAAATGTATTGCTGGTATTTTTACTATAAAAATGTACTTTTGATACGTTCATAGTGTCTTGTTTTTGTTTGATGGGGGAGGGGTCACTATTTGCACATATCTGGGATTCTAACATGTGCTACTACCCTGGGTCAAGGTGAACTTGGGAACAACACCAATTAAGAAGTGATTCCACACTCCTGAAACCTCCAATCTCCTGATCAGAGGCCTTGCTGCTGGATGTAGTTTATCATCATACCCAGGACTAACCTAGATATAAGGCATATGCAGTAGATAAAGACGAACAAGTTGAATATACAAATTGATTATCTTCATTAAGCAAGTATCACAAAGTCAGGCTAGATATAAGACACATGATGCTAGATATAATTGCAAGAACTGCATTTATTTGATGTCACAGCTTTATATATTTGCATGCATACAGATTGACAACCAATTTTATATAATTAAATAATTTTTCAGAGTTTCAAGCAGACACACATAAATTTTTAGTTTTATATATTAGATTTACTTTCTATTTTTTTTTTTTTTTGGACAGGTAACAACTTTACCTGCTGTTGTAAAGTGAGGTAGTATCATATGGCAATGAACTTTCTTTTCACCAAGAATTGACGTAAGTTCTTGGAAAAGAGTGAGCAAGCCAGGACGTGTATCCAATTCAAATTGAACAGATCTTTCTCTGTTTTTTAATTCAAACTGCTCCACCATAAACTGGAAAGAAAGAAAACAAGAAATTTTAAACACAAAGAATATTTCTATGCTGGGTATATTTGGGAGTACTGCACCACAGGTTGAAAAAAAAAAAATTACAAATAGAAACACTTTCAACAATTTCTAAAAAAAATGAAATAAATAAAATGGTAAATTAAACAAAATAAAACGGTAAAAAAATATTAAAGATTACTAAGAGTTACAAGTCATGATTGCTCATGTTGTGAAAAAATACAGCACATAGAAAAAAATGATAAATGCATTCTTGTTTGTTTACAAGATAAGAATGCATTTATCATTTTTTTTATAAATTTGTAATAATTTCTACTGCTTGAAACCTTTTCAATATTAATACTCAAGGCTTATGGCTATATCATGTTGAAACACCAATTCCCATATGATCGTTGGAGTTAAGCAACATCAAGCTTGACCAGTATCTAGATGAGTGACCACTTGGAAATACCAAATGTTGTAAGCTTGAATGCACAGTTAATGTAATAGAATGTCTTGGAATTGTTAATCAAAGAGCCAATTTTCAATTCCAGTTGCGTTTGTTATATTCACTTAGACACAAATACCCTTGGGAAAGGTATGAATCCACCTCTTCTCCCCTAGCTATGTGTTAATTAGTAAGACTGATATCATTATTATCTCAAAAAAAAAAAATTTAACAATTTAAAAATATTTTCTGGCTTTAAATAACCTGCAAAGGGTTGATAAACTGTAGAAAACAAATCAACCAATCAATAAAAAAGTATTAAAACTCAACTGTTTTCTTTGAAAGTGGAATGCCAAAATTGTTAATTGCCAACAATTTTATATTATTTATCATTATTTGGACCATATTTTGTCCTCATCTTTGTCGCCATATTTATTACAACGTTTTTCGTTGTACATTAAATTTTCATTATTGGAATGTCTAAATGCAATAAGAAATTAAAATATATAGATGACAATATTCCAAATAATGTGTTCAAATAATTTTACATTTATAACCTTATCTCAGAAATATAGACAGATATAGAAAGGATTGGTCCTCATAACTAAAACATAAATATGGTCAGAAAATTAATGAGGAAAGTCCAAATAATTTAAATAATGATACATAATACCTCATCTCAGAAATAATAACCTCATCTCAGAAATATAGACAGATTTGAAAACGTTGTTAATAAATATGGTGACAAAGATGAGGACAATAGTCCAAATAATGTAAATAATGTACATAATACCTCATCTCAGAAATATAGACAGATACTGAAAGGTCGAAACGTTGGATAAATATGGTGACAAAGATGAGGACAATAGTCCAAATAATGTAAATAATGTACATAATACCTCATCTCAGAAATATAGACAGATACTGAAATATCAAACGTTGTGATAAAAATGGTGACAAAGATGAGGACAATAGTCCAAATAATGTAAATAATGTACATAATACCTCATCTCAGAAATATAGACAGATACTGAAAGGCCGAAACGTTGTGATAAATATGGTGACAAAGATGAGGACAATAGTCCAAATAATGTAAAAATAATGTACATAATACCTCATCTCAGAAATATAGACAGATACTGAAAGGCGAAAACGTTGTGATAAATATGGTGACAAAGATGAGGACAATAGTCCAAATAATGTAAATAATGTACATAATACCTCATCTCAGAAATATAGACAGATACTGAAAGGCCGAAACGTTGTGATAAATATGGTGACAAAGATGAGGACAATAGTCCAAATAATGTAAATAATGTACATAATACCTCATCTCAGAAATATAGACAGATACTGAAAGGCCGAAACGTTGTGATAAATATGGTGACAAAGATGAGGACAATAGTCCAAATAATGTAAATAATGTACATAATACCTCATCTCAGAAATATAGACAGATACTCAACAATTTCCTGGTACAAAACAAATACAGAACAAAGATGCAGAGAAAGGCTGAAAATTATTTTAAAAATAAAAAGGTCATCAAAACTTATTAAAGAGGATCGTTGATAAATATAAAAGATTAAACAATAAATGAGATGACAGATAAGAATTACTTTGAGGAGATTTTTTTATTGGTAAATTTAGTGTATAAATTTATGTAAAGCTAAATTTTGTCTTAGTTTCCAAACTATACATAATTAGAACAAAACCTGCATCATCATTACCACATAATGGATGTTTACCAACCTTTAACATATATTACTAACAAATGGCATTTACAACATTAGCAGTAATATCTAATTTGCATAACATTTTTAAAAGCATATTTTAATAAATATTTCTTCTGTGTTATTTATTTTTAATAAGTTAGAAAACCTACATCATTCATAATAAGAATTGTTGCCATCTGCTATTTCACATTGTTAAAAATTAGTCAAATGAAGCCCAACAGAATTTTATGGAATTATCTAAATAAGTCAAAATAATTAGATTTTCTTAAAACTGTATCAAATTTTTTTAACAAATGAAAAAATAGTAATTTTGTTTGAGTTTGTATTATTATTATTAGCAACATAAACATTAGAAAATAATTCAAAATATTCCTCTCATGGTCAGCTCTATGTATGTGACACTATTTAGCTATAGTAATTGGCTAACTAATTAACCATAGAAATTAAAAACAGGAAAGACTTAAGGTGAGAAAGTGCTATATCAAAAGATAGACTGAGCGACATTAAAAAGAAGATTTGATTTTATTTACCAAGAAAGATACTTTTCGCACAAGACAGAAAATCCGTAAGAAAAAGCGAGATATAAAATTCTGTCAAAACTGATTAATGTTATGATAAGGGAGTGACGCGCCAAGAGAAACAGTATTCAGAAAGAAAAACAAAGCCAACTGACACATGGCGGCCATAAAAAAATTTTGACTTGGGACCACCGTGGTACAGGCAGAGAGAAGCGATATTAGTTATCTTTCAGAGATATCATTTAATTTTAATTCCTGGGTCCAACGAAGGGAACCATCTAGTGTGTGTTAGAATTCTGGCACGAGGAAAAAAATCTTATTATTATTGCTTATTCAAACTGTTGATGTCATAATCAGCATCATCGAAAATGGGCATCTGGTGATAAGAGGATTTTAAGGCATGAGAAAAATAAAGAATTTGATTCTCAGGTAAAATACGGACCACCCAGCTAAAAGTTGACTTCACAGAAAAACCAGGTGTCGGGTTTTGACAGTGATGAATGAGTCAGTAAAGAGACCTGACTAAGTGAATTTTGGGTGTCCCCAAAAGAAAGATGTGATAAGAATTATTTGGCAATCTGGGGTTTGTAAAAAAAAAAAAAAAAAAAAAAAAGTTTTGGCTGAAGGAAAAAAAGAAAAAAAGGATTTTGTAAACAAAATTCTGGATAATAATTTTAAGAGGGCCAGTCTAGCCACACCCACACTGCTGAGAGATCATTGGTCAAGTGGTAGCATGGGTGATAAACGGAGGTGAATGTATGAGAAAGACAGAGAAGTTGTTAACACCCACTGAGGGGATTGGTATGAGATACCAATGTAAGAGGGGAAGAGTCTAGGAGGATAACTCTCCTCCAACCTTCCCTCATGGACAAGGGAGAAACCCCGAAATGGAAAGTGATTAGTCTTCCAAAAATGGGAAGTAATTAATTTTCCTGGCCTAAGAGCAAAGAGAATTCTTGCTGGGAATTGAGAATTATCGAGAACCCAAGCCATGTCAGGCCCCACACCGGGTTTTGGTCGGTATCCATATAAATGAACATCTCGAGGCAGCTGATCAGTTTTTGAGCAAGTTCCAGCAGTTGATTCGCAGTTGCAATCAGACCGTTGCCTAGCAGAAGCTGAGTGAGAGATTTCTACGTCCTTTTCGACTTCCTACCAAAAGCAAGTTATATTGACAAACAACTTAAGATACCAAAGTTGCTTAAGAAACGCAAACGTGTCACAAATCCAGAGAAACAGGCTGGGAGAGAAACACACAGAAAAAGATAATTTGTTATTTCTCAACATATTTGAACCTCGTGAGTTTGTTTTATTGCTTCTTTTACTTACACTTGTGCGATATCACCTTTATCCCGGATTCAGCTTGCACTACAGCCAGACGCCCGATTGATTTTGTCTACCTAAGATCAAAGTCACAATGTGGATAGGTTAGACTTGAGATTAAAGTAGTTACTTCGGTAACCAGATGTTGGAAGTGAGCTGGGAACAACAAAGCTGGTATCGAACTGGGAATGACCAGATCGACTGGGACACAGGCTGGTGGCAGTGACAAAGAGTCAACCTCAAAATGCTGGTGGAAGAAACCTTATAGCTTCGCGCCGCAATTGGGAGTTGACCACGGACCGATAGCACAGTGTCACATATTGGCGTCACGACCAGAGGACGTCACATATTGGCGCTGCAACCACAAGTGGGTGTCACATGTATTGGGTTGACCAAAATGTTTATTCTGTTTTAGATTAAGTGACAACAAGTTTCCTTAATACTCCTGCACTCTTTTCAGTTGTTAAGCTGAATTAATAATAATATCATCTGGACATTGATCTACAAAGATTTAAATGCAAATTTGACAAGAAGGAGAGTCCCACATGTGACATGTATAAGAAAAATATATAATTCATATATTTTGTATATAGTATTTAACAGGAAAGCAAGAAGCTGGAAGAGAGTTCCACAAGCAAGAAGTGCGAGAAAAGAAACTTAATATAGAACTTACAGTTAAATTTTGTCATTTCAACTGTAAAATGAGACCTACTTTCCAATCTAGTACAGCGCTTAAACTTTTGAAGTGAAAATGATTAAATATAGAATATTCTCCCATGGAAATCTATATATTTTTCTGAAAGGTTGATAATTAAGGATTTTATTTTAACTAAAATCATTCTGCTTTTACTGTGGCATTTTTGAACAATTTTTTCTTATATTTCCTCTACTGACTGTGACTAAAATGCAACAAGATTATTTTAAAACAGTCCTGCACAATTCAGAGAGATGAACGACTGTATTGATCTCAGATATTTAAGAACAGTC